CAAAAAGATATGACCTCTCGCCTAAAACACAACTGAAAATAATACTGTTCTTTCTATGTGCCTGTAAAATTAGCTAGGGTGTTTAATAACTTTTAAATGAAATTCTTCTTTAAGCTCTTCACTTATTCTTGGCATATTTGCATAGATATTTTAGGAGTGCCTCAAATAAACAGCATATTTAAATTATATTCAGAATGTATATCATATATATTTAAATCAACAAAAGAGTGGTTCCCTGCTGTGTTTTATTCAAAGTAGTCAACTTGCTATGTGACTATAACAGACAAATGTTTCCCTTATCCCCCACCAGCCCCAACTCCAATATTGAAGAAAAGTCCCAAGTGTCAACAATAGATTGACCGACCAAGGGTTAATGATACAGGCAAAACATTTTGTAAGCAGATGAAAAAGAGGGAGAAAAACAGGAAAGAAAAGCAATGGCTAAGGAGCCAAATGTTCACCAATGAAAATAAACAACTATGCATAATTGAATATTCCTAGTTTTGACAAGCGTCCAGTAGCAGAAGTAACAGATGCCACAGCAGCCCGACTACCTCCAGCTTGATTGAATCAGACAAACAAGAGAAGGCCTGTGGGAGTCACTCCCTAGAGATGAATTTCTGCCAACCTGGTGGGGGTAAAACGTGGGTTAGTTTTATTTATTTATTTTTACCTTTAGAAAATCACATTTGAAACGGGGCCTCAGCTATTTTCAGGCTCAGGCAGTTGGATGGGCAGTCAACATCTCTGACACAGTGTGGAATTATTATGGAAAATACAAGTTGAAGGTGACAGGAACTATGGGTACATACAGTTTTATGGTCATTAAGACAGCAATGCTTTGTGAGTTTTATATGCATATAAAAATACATATTATATATAATATGTAAACATAAATGTCTAAATATATGTAAGGAATAAATATGAGTATAAATGTATAAATAAATATATAAGTATATATGGATGAATAAAAGTATACACAAATACATATATATATATATGTAAATATAAATATATGCAATAATTTGACCCTGAGGAAGAATACAATTTACTCAGAAACAGAATAGAAAAGCAATCGTTGCTTTACTCAACTGTGTATGAACATTTCTTGCTATTATGGTTCCCAAACTCCCCTTTAACAGAAAGAAATCAACATGGCTTAGAAGAGCACTCACTACTCAAGGAGGGATGAAAGGACCTAAGATCTAGTTCCATGTCTGCCATCTGCTGGTTGACCTTTGGTCACATCACTTAACCTTCGTGAACATCATTTTCTCAGCTATTAAACAGTAAAGTTGGATCAATGGGTTAAACCCACATTTCCCACGTAGTGCTTTCTAAAGGTTTTCTAGGGTCTTGCTACTCAAAAAATGGCCCACAGACCAACTGGCAGGACTGGCATCACCTGGCAACTCTCAGAAACAATCTCTGACCATGGAATGAACTTAATAAATCATTTTAATTCAATCGTCTGCATTTTAATAGGATACCAGTTGATCTGCATCCATGTTAAAGTTTGAGAAACACTGTTTCTGGACAAGACATCCCTGAGTTACTTGATCATAGAATCACTGGAGAACTTCATGCAAACACAGCTTTCCTGGTTCTCCCTCTAGAGTCTGATCCAACAGGTTTTGGGGGGTGGAAGCTAGGAATCTGTATATTTTACTGATTCACCAGGTTGGTCCTTTTCAATGAAAATATGAGTAAATAAATAAAATAATTGCATTTATGTTGTTTCCGTTTAAAATCAAAAGATCTCTAAGTGATGTCATGCCAGTGAGTTTACCGGTGTTTTTGAAGAGACTAGCTAACCTGATCATGACAAGACACTCTAGTCGATACGTCCCCCAGCTGAACGTCCCGGCCTCCATAAAGGTCCTACCCACTGTGGTTCTGAAACTGTTAAATTCTTAATGGATCATTGGTTAAATGTAGGAAGCAGTAGGGTGTTGAACAACAATAATTTAATGAATATAAAAATGATACTCATTTTGCAAAGTTCCCTCAAGACAATTGTCATCAGATTCATAAGTTACATTCATCTATCAAAATCCTCATTTAGCACATTAAGATGTCTTTAGCATTTTAAAAACCAATCTTAAAAAGAAAAAAACAGTGACAATTATATCCAATTTGGCTTTTCATTTATTGGGAATAAAGGCTATCTCTGTGCAATGTGCTATTTGCTGGGAAGTGCTTGTAAACAGCAGCCAGAAGTCTCCTACTTCAACAAAACATGAAAGTTATAAAAAAAAAAAAAAAAAGGAGTGTTTTTTTGTTTGTTTGTTTTACTATCAGCAAATCAAAAGATTCCAAACAAAGTCCTAAAGGCAGTTTTTTCCCCTCCATTTATGATACCATTAAACATAGTTAAATTTTAATTTACATTTTAATGTACATTGGTCCTCAAGTCAGATTCAATATTTAATGACAAATCATGTCTTGACTTGCATTAAATAATTTGAAATAAATTAAAGAGTGTCACTTGGAAGAAATTAAAAATATGTTATAAATACTATTAGAGATTATATTAATTATAAAACATAGGTTTAAAGTTAGGATTTTTAAGTTATAAAAACAATATAATTAATATTTATATGTACATATCATATACAAGTATGACAAAATTATTTTTTTAATCCCTGAAGAAATTTATGAGATTATTACCACAAAAGTACTGATGACTCTAAAAAGGTGAGAAGAGAAAAGTGTTTTGCATTTTCAACATGCTTTGGCTCTACCATGCTTGAGAGACTTGGATACCCAGGGCTGGCCCAAAATAAATTTTTAGAGTCCATATAGCCATAATCTACAGAAAAATTACTAAAGCAATAAAATTTTAATTCAGTTTAGTTTTAGTATTAGTGTGCACCTACTGGTGAATGATGCTGGTGCTCGGAAGGATTAAGTATGTTATAAAATAATGGCCAGTGACTGATAAGAGCTACACTGTGCCAGGTAGAGTTTTAAACACTTACAGTTACCAACAGTTCTAATTCTTAAAATAATCCTATGATGTAGGCACCCTTTTGCCAGTAAAGACATTAAGGCACAGAGAGATAAATTGTTCACCATGACGAAACGGAGTAGTGGAGCTGTAACTAGAAACCAACAGGACTCCAATGTCTGGGTTCTTAACCATCAGGGTTCACGTTTGAAACTGGAAAATGCAGGAGCAAAGGCACATGTCGGTGAGGGGGATGTGCAGGATAGCAAAGTGCTTGGAAAGATGAACTAGGATAAAGAGGATCAAAGATTACAGGAAATTAACAATCAGGAATTAAGTGAGCAAGTACAGAGATGAGAGACTGGAGGTGGACAGATTAGTAAAATATTGTTTATAGTAATTCACTGAATAGGTCACGTGGGCCTCAGAAACCTAGAGGAAGAGGAAGAAGGGAGAAAGTGATATTAAAAAGCAGGAAATTGATGTAACCTATGTTGAAATCCTTGTATGCGGATTTGCCTCTTCTTTCTTTGGACAGAGCCCAGAGGACAATCTGCTTCACCCTGACTGGGGTCAAATATCCCGGGTAGCCTAGCGGAGGCCATGGACAGAGTTCAGAGTTAGAAAAGTTAAAGGAAAGTAAAACCAAACATATTCCTTCTCTCAGTTGACCTTCTGCTTTAAAGTCATGAAGTATTTGTGGGCTAAAATTAACTAAATAACTATAAGAAAAATGTTTCCCATGGCTCTTACATCAAGAGCACAGCTAATAAGATGACCGACCCCTTATCCTTGGTCTACTAGGGCCCAGTAACACCCAGGAGGCGGCCTCCCAATTGCCAGTACAGTGAAGGTGAAATGAATATTTTGAGAAGAAAATTTCATTTCCCAAGAAGCATAAATGTCTCTGCAAATAGCAATTCACTCCTTAATCCCTCAACCATCAACATCTGCTATGAAGAATTCCTTGAGTCCTCAAATAAATCCCTCTTGTCCCGTATTCTTTATGGCACTCTCAAAAGGCAGCATTTGAATAAAACAACAATAACTATCTCTGCCCTCCACCTCTCAATTTCTTTCTCGAGGGGCTTTTATAGCACATGAAGGAGGTTTTATGGGAACCCATTGGGGTGGGATAATGGGGGTGGGTGAGATGAAGACACTTTAAAGGAAGAGAAAGGAAGTCTGTATATTTAATATATTTGAGATACTAAAAACACTGATGCTGAAATATGATAAAGAAATCTTAGACTCTCTTGAAAGGCAATTTTCTTTCTTTCTTTTTTTTTTGCAAATGTCTATTTTTTTTAAGTCCTACTTGGGTCAAGCAAATGCAGTTTTAAAACCCATTTCCATGTTTTAAGATTCAAGGGGAAGAGGTTTAACAGTAGGCTATAAAAATCCCTTAATCTTTAACGTCTTATTTTTGCAGATTTGATGGAAAGTACAGTAAACAGTCACTGCTCCACTTTTCCCATCAATGCCCCTTGACCTTTGTAATAGATGATGAACAGCAGAATCCATTTGCGTGGGTTTCTTTCTCTCGAGAACCGTTTTTCCTGGCATTGTTGAGACACCTGCACTCTGACAATCTAGGCAGAATCTCTTAGCCCAACTGATTTGCTGATTGTACTCCAGAGGAAATTATCAAACACTTAAAGTACAATTTTAAAAGAGTAAATTTAGTAGAAGTAGAGACAGTTCTGATGATTTTCTGCTGTCCTCTAATCCACAGGTCCCCAACCACCCCTCCTCGGCCGCAGACCAAAACCGGGCCACACAGCAAGAGGTGAGCGGTGGGCGAGGGAGCGAAGCTTCATCTTTATTTTCAGTTGCTCCCCAGCACGAGCATCACCACCTCAGCTCCACCTCAGACCATCAGGCATTAGACTCTCATAGGAGCACTGGTCCCTGGGGCCAAAAAGGTTGGAGACCACCACTCTAATCTATATCCTGCAGACTCATCTGGCATGTCAAAGCTCCTCTCCAACTCTATTTAAGCCTTATCTGTGTTCCCACAGGACAAGAAGGTGACCCAGAATATACTCACAGGCTATGCGCACGGATGCCTTCCTGCTCTTGGAAGTCCCCAGGTGGCTCCATGCCACACATTGGCACCAATAGTCTTCGGGCCCATGGAAGTCCTCCACCTGCTGCCTGGTGACATTGATGAACACCTCCCGGACCTTCAAGCCTGATGAGGAGATAGAGAAAATCCACTGAGGTTGCTGTATTTCTCAAACCGAAAGTTAAGGCTAGTCAAACCTTTTCTTGTTAATTAAACAATTCTGTTTTTAATCAAGGAGAGGTTTTAATTACTTTGACAATAATGTATCACTGCTAATTAAATCTCAACAGCTGAGTAGGCTAGAAAGAACGAGTGTAAAATATCACCAACCAATGTGGCTCCATTATAATATAATGGTTTCTACAGAACCTGGACTTAGTGCTTTTTGTCTTTGTGTAAAATCTGCTATGAGGAATGTATTACCAAATTAGTTGCTGGGATTCTAGATGCTAAAGAGGCGCCTCAACATACCAACCCCAGAGACGTAGTTCCTGGTGGTTCTAAGTGTCCTTCCCCAAGTATGGCAGTGGAAAAGGGTCACTCTAGCAGTGAGACCTTAGAAGAAGAAGAGGACAGCAAACATGCACGAAATTGGTGAACAGGCTGGGGATCCAAGGAAGGGTCAAATCCTCTGAAAAACGAATGCTATGCAAACAAGTTGAACTAAGTTAGTCTCAAAACCCTGAGAGGAGAGTTCAAGAAAGCCTGTGGGGCAGTTGGCATGAGGAGGTGAAGAAAAGGGGCTTTGATAGAAGGAAGGGCTATGGCTACATCTGTGAAATGGGATAAAAATAAAGACCCTGACCTCTTAATGTTGTTGTGGTGGTTATTATAAGTACTTTGTATTTTCCTTCTAATAGAAAATGTGCTTGGTGCTTCTCACAGAGAGTATGAGTTTTTTCCAAACATCTGACCGAGGACTATCAGCCTTTCTGTAGGAAGGACTGCCACTTTGCCCAGAGTGCCAAGAATCAAAGGGCACTCCTCACCAGCCATTAGTAAAATCATCACAAGCAGGGTAGCAGCCTTTACAGTCAGTGTGCTCTCTCCATACAGTAAACCTTTGCCAAGGCTGGGCCTTATTCTGGGATAAGCAGCATGGGAATAAAAAGGGGCAATGCTTATTGAATTTCACTAAAGTGTCTAGCATCATGAAAGGCCTTTAACCTATTTACTCGTTAAATTTCCACAATGCATTGATGCAGGAGAAGCTACTGTATCCCCACTTTATAGAGGCGAGAACTATGACAGACAGATGAATTCGTCTGTCCAGTTACACAATCTGTAAATAGAAGATCTGTGGTTCGAACCTAGATCTTACACCAAAACATCTCAAAAATTCAATTGTGCCCCCAAATGTTAAGTGCTTATATTTAATTATGAAAATAAGACTAACATGGAACATTTAAAGAACAATTAAGTGCATAACTCTGTTTTTTGTTTTTTTTTGTTTGTTTGTTTGTTTTCCCATTTAAGTTCAAAAAGAATTCAGGAGACAGAATCATCAGTAAAACCTAAATGAGCCAGGGACTCTTGCTGGAGGAGGTAGATCATGATTATATCTCAGATTAAATTATAGGATTTAAAGAACAGGAATGGAGGTGAAGGATGAGTCAGGCTGGGGAAACATTCCCTTCCACCCAATCGATAACATGTTATTTACAGGATGTGATGAGAGATCGCTTTATGGTCACATAAATCACCATGTACGATTTGAGTAATACTTTCTAAATTTGTAGGAGGTACCACATAAAGAAAATCATCTGATGACAGTTGATAATTCACATTTCTGCTGTTTGTGCAAAGTGTGGAAGTATACCTTTTTCCCTGTCAGAGATGGAAGAGTCCCGAAAGCTGTCTCCTATATCAAATAGGAAAAAAGCCTTAGAGGCGTTTTTTACTGTTATTGTTGTTGCTGTTTTTTCCCCTGCCCTTTGCACTTAAAAGAAGTGTGAGTGGGAGGACAAGGGCAAGAGTAAGGCAGAGTGGGCAGATGAAGAGAACGGGAGAATATCACAGAAAGAGAGAATAAAGATTTAAAAAAAAAAAAAAAAAGGTTTGTTAGAACAGAAATCAGACTAGAGTGTTGCATCCAAATGGGGGATTAGAGAGTAAGGCTGAATAAACAAATATAAAAAGCTAGGCTGTACAGAAAAGGGCTTGTTTTATATTTTTCTCTTTGATTTGAGGCAAACAGTAGATGATCTACTTGGAATAGTGAAAGGGAAGAGAGAGAACACCAAATCAGTGCATCTAGGTGCGTGGCGGACTAATTTTAATATTACAGAGCTCCCCTGTTGCAGGACGGGGAGACTTATTGAGACAGAATACACCCACTACTTGGGTATCAGGGGTCTCAGTGAAGAGCATTCGGTGACCTTGAAATGTCAGAAATGTGTTCAAGCTAATGAGAAACAAGTCTACGTTTTCACTTTCTCCGTCTTACAACAGCATCTAAGCTATCAGCTTCCTCTCAGTTGGAAATAAAGACAAACACCATCTCAAAATGATTCAGGATTATCATATTGATAAAGCAGGAAGTTTCCACGTGGAAACCCCAAAACTTGCTACAATTTAATCTAGGCACCATGTTGCCTTAAGAGTACCTGAGATCTGTTTTAAAGAGGTGGTAAGACACAAAGAAAGAAAAATGAGTGTCATAAAAGAAGAAAAAAAAATTACACTCACAAATCCCTAGAAACTGGAGGCACGAGCCCATCCACACGCAGGGCCAGAAAAACACCAGGGTTGGTCAAGAGGCAGAGGGGAGGAGAAAATATGGGCAAAAACATTTTTTGTCATTTCCCTGGGAAATAGGAGAGGCAGCGTAAATAGGTTTAGAGTTGTCTAGTTTGAATAATTTCAGTGGGCTCTGGGACATAATGATTGTCCCTAGTTTTCTCATACCTGGTCCTGGCATTATGGCTTGGGGATACTGGCTCAGAGAGTTAGAGCTCAATAAAAGAAGTGGTTGGGGCTAATAGGCTCTGGATTGGTTGGTGCACCTGAAAGGCAAGCTCACAGGCAAATTGTTTGCTATCTCTAGACATTAGCCATCCCTCAGCAGGGCAGTCCCTCCAGTGTCAGCCCGGCTCTAAGATATCAGAACATCAAATACAGAAACTAGAAAACACAGTTATCACAGTGTAGACAGCTATACATTTGTTTCAGAAAGCATAAAGAATAGACCATGGACCCCCACCATGAAGACCATAACTGATCTCATCCCATTCTTGTCAGGAAGTTTTGCCACCCATCATTCAGATGAACTACAGTTGAGAGGAATATGTTGAAGTTACAACTTCAATATTAGAATGGCTCAGTTACAGGTCCTTCTCAAAGGTTCCCCGTGAGATTGGAAAAGCAAAACAAACATAAAAAAACTTTCTAAACACGGTGTATTTTTCTTTCAGGTATCATCAGGGTGGTAGGCTTCTTTAGAAGGCCACAGGTGACATCACCATCCCCCCCAAAATACAATGTCTCTTTGGATTAGGCCTTCTTTGTCTAATATAAGGTGATCAATCTTGTCAAACCAGCCCCTCGAGGAGAACCCTTGAAAAATCATGACTATTTTGTATCTATTATATTTTTCTTTACCATAATAAGAAATAGCTCTATTAAATAAGATAAAAAATTTAAAACTAATATACTCTCAAATCTTCACTATGGCTGCCTTAGTGATATATATTATATGTATATTATTTATACATTTTATATATACTGTAAATTTTACATATATGTGTGTGTGTGTGAGTATGTGTGTGTGTGTGTGTACGTATGTGTGTGTACACACCCACGAGAAACACGATGGAAAGCAGCTCTATTTGAGGAAACCTCTGCCCACCTGCCTCCACTGAAATTCATCCAATAGTACGGCAGAGACAGCCATCTACTTCTACATCGCAAGAGATGGCTGCTAACTTATTCAAAGGAAATGCTACAGGGGGGCAAAAATTTGAGGCATATAGAAGATGGCATCTCATAAATAAGAGCAGCATTGTACCTGATAACTTGTTTAACTCTAATAAGCATGGAAAAGTCCAACCCTTTAAATTATTGTGCAAATTATAACCATCAGCCTTTGTTATGGAGTAGAGTCTTACAGAATATAAAAATATGACTATGAGACTGATATGCTAATAAGCTTTCTACGCTGTTGGATGGTTTAGTTGTAGATCGACTAATGTTGGCAGCAGTTGAATAATTGCTCTGCATGTACTAAACATAACAGAGCAGCAGAGAGCTTTATCATTTGTCAGCTTTATTTGTTTAAATGAGAAAAATGCTGACAGCAGTTATTGCTGTAATCCCCTTAGTTATCAGATAGAAAACACTAGTTACTCTTAGCAGGTCTAATTCTGCTGGGAGATTAAAAGTTAGAATATTTTCAAACTAATGGAAAGTATACGCTTGACTATTCAAAGAAGAGAAATATAGAAGACAGGAAGCAAGACACAGAAAGAGAAAAAAATGAAAGTCAAAAATTTATTTCCAGCCAATTTTTAATAAAAGGGCTCTAGTCTTAGGGCTAACTTGTTCTGAAGAAAAGAAAGAATTCTGCAACAGCATTTAACATTCAGCACCATACAGCCCAGCGCCTACTAACAGCTGTCCCCACGCCTTTCATCTACTGCTCATTATCACACGTACACAAAGCCCGTCAGCAGCATTCTGCCGCGGCTATTGTTGCCAGCCAGTTCTCAGATACACCTGGTGATGGGCACTTGGGGAGGAATTTGACACAGTTCTCCGATGCTTCCCACCCCTCACAGCCTTATGTTCTTCAATCGTTTGGAAGTTCTCTGTAGTAGGATGCTTGGCTTTCTAAACTGAATAACTAAATTTGAGAAGGGAAGCGAGAATTCCTCTTCCTCCTTTAAGATGTTTTTCATTTCCCAAGCTGCACGGAAGCAATTAGAGACCAGCAAACTAGGTTCTGATGAACTATTTTCTCATCCTAGTATCTGTGCCCGTTTCCCTAGGTCATTTTAGCCCAGTGTTTTATCTACCTCACAAATGGTTTTGCACATTGTAATGTTGCATGACTGGGGATTAGCCGAAGGAATGATTATATACATTTCCATAGACAAAGCTCCGAAAAACTATTCCAAAGTAACTTCAGG